GAAATTTTCAAGGCTGCAGGACAGCGGTACTTGAGCTACCTCAGTTTTGCTTCTTGCTGCACATTATGTGCTTTACTTCGATTCAAATAGCTGACACGAGCGAGTTCTATTCAATATTAATGTAGCTGTTAGCCTTAAATGCCTTGGACAGCCGTTATCCGAGTGCTTGCCTTTGTGGACGTATCATCTGGAAATGTCTTGATGCTGCCAGCTGCTGCCTAGCTATTAATTGCGGTCAGTGTCACTCGTCACGCTTTGAAATGCCATTAAAATGCGTGAGCTTAAGCAATTCAGAGTCAGAGAATATTTTATTAAGGTAGCAAGGGAATCTTTAACCAGCTGTTTCAGCTGTGTCAACTGATTGAAATGAAAGGAGTAAAGCAAATGCAAGCTCGCCTTGGCATGCGCTGATTCCTTTGCTGCAGGCCAAGCCGAATGGCAATTTAAATGTACTATATTATGCGCATTTTATACTCTATTAGCGCACTAACATAAATACAGGGCAGGGGAGTAGGTGGAGCTGCGTCGAGTGCAGCAGAACAGAGGCGAGCAGAGCTCGGCCCGTCGCTTTTATGTTCCACCGCATATCCTTGAGTTTTATTTTTATTGACCTGGTAATTGAATCAAACTTTACGTTTATGACCATGGGGCTACTTCGCGCGATTTAATATGCACGCCGCTCCACGGCACGCGCAATAACATTTACCCAATGCTTCCAGCATGAAACTTGATGTATTTAGGTAATTTACTCTTTCATTTCCTTTCAATGCCCAATATGGCTTAACCATGGCACAAGAGATCTCATTATTCGAACGACTCCAATTAGTAGTAGAATCTATTTATAGTCTAAAAATGTTTCTGCTTCCTTCACAGCAATTTTTTTACCATGACTTCCCCAAGGCTCATCAAACGACAACTCAGCGCAAAATTTACAAAAACTGTTTGGTCTGCGACACCTGCATACGCGAGCTGATGGTACTGGACGTTCCTCCCCAGGTGAGTGAAACTGAGAGCAGTCTGCAAATATACATCGCACATGCGAGAGGCAGACTTGAGCACCTCCGACTCCATACACACACACACAAAACCATGTAGAACAAATAGCTGAGCCGTCTGTCTGTGCCCTCAATAGCACCTCCATATTGCCATTACTCAATACACAAAACATATATATCCTTGTCACTATGTCAATGAGTATCAAAGCACTAAAAGACCTCACGAACTTTCCACCGCTTCAGGTGAAATTGTGTCACCAGTGAGGAGACTCTGAGAGCCTCCTGTTCAGGTGCAGTACGGCACAGTGGGCCTCTACAGTGGTCTTTCTGTTAATAAATGAATATTTAATTTAATGAAATGATAATTTTTGTAATGAAAATGAAAAACACAGTTTCGATTGTAATGCATACTACTTTTGTAATTATTATTAGCAACATAAGATATAAATATTATAGATATATGACCTCTCACAAACCACCCTAAGGTGAATTTATAAAAATACGAATTATAAACTGGCAAAAGCTCAACAAAGTCCGCTTTGTTAGCCAGTTGCTATACAATTGGCCATTCTCTTTTGTCCCAATGACAACAACAACAACTATGCTTATGGGAAAGAATCTCTCCAGGCCGTCGAGGTGGCCAAGTTTCAATGGCTTTCAATTTATTCATGTCAAATTTGGCGTGAATTCGGGTAGATACTCTTCATAAAGGATGGACATGCTCCTCTAATATCAATCATATTTGTAAAAGACGTCAGATAGTATAGCTCATAGTGCACATAGCTAGCATTCAAGTGGAACTCATATAATGTAATCCTGGTATATTTTACACACCTGTAAGGGTATCCCATATTCGCAGCTCAAAACCTAGTCGTGTGCTTTTGTTGAGTGTTTGTTTTTAGATACTTTTTGTTTGCCGCTCTTTATGCCCATTGTGTCGAGGAAATAGTTTCCTGTTAGGCATCCTAGATGGGGGCTCGGAAGTCACGTGAGCAACCTTCTGCTGCTTATTGTGGGGACATTTTTCATTGTCAACGATGGCCAGTATTACTCAAAGTCCACTCTAATGCATTCCGATTGTGTTAACAGCACTTTGTTGCCCAAAAAACATTTTTTATGCAGTTTATATATAGCCACGTCACACTCAGCTTCTGGCTATTTACCGAACACTACAAGTTTAACCAGCTGTGCAAAAGAGCTGGATGTTTATAGTTTGCACAAATATTTTAATTAGATAAATGACTGGCGAAAGTAAAGCAAACAAAAGTCTGGAAAATTATGGATGCGAGTTTCGCAGTTGAAGCACTTTGAAAACAATTAACAAAGTAGTAAGGCAGTGCAATAAAAAATCAAATAGTAGGGAAGGATGGGAGCTATAGACAGCGGAACGTAAGGACATCGGCAATAAGAATTCGACAGCTGGCAAGCTGCCTCGTTCGTGCCAATACAATCCTTAATTAGCAAAAATCAAGAAAAACAATTGAAAGAAGTTGAGTGGGAAATGCGCAAAGCAAATGAAACGAAATTTAATCAAAAACGTAAATCTAAGAAACTTTCCGCCCACGAAGACAACGTCGACTGGCTGTCTGCCAGCAGACACAAGTAGACAAATGGGGGTGAATGGGGGAGGGGCTTGGAATGGAAGATGGAGAAGGGGGGAACGTAATGGCGCCAAGGCGCGTGGTCTTAGCCTAAGCCTTTGGCCAATATTTCTATTTGGCTTTGCTCTCATTCGAAAATACTGCACAGTAAATTGATTTTTAATCTCGTTTTCATAATAATCAATAATATTTCGAAAGGCTGCTGCCTTTACTTGCTAGTTACTCACACCTCATGCCAAAACAGAAATGGAATCTCAAGTTTATGAAAGTTTTTGCTACTCTAAAATTAGATATAAGCAATTCAGCAACAACCAACAGCAATGAAATTCAAGGAATATCTACAAAGGTGCAAATCAATGAAAGTCTATATACATTCCACTTCTGCATACCCATTCGTATCCTTCTTTATTATACTTCCCAGTTATATAATGCTCTACATATTAAATTGCTATTTTCTCTTTGTTTATTGCACACACACACTCACGCATATTCTCGAAATGTGCACATGTATTTGTGTGTATGTGAATGCAAACACGTTTCATGTGCGACTACATATTGCGACGACACTGATTAAAAACAAACACTTAACAAATTGGCATGGGAACCTTGCCAGAAGCGATTTCCAGCTGACAACTTTGCTGAATGGAATAATGGACATCCGCTGGGGCTGCGAACGGTGCACGCCTATGTTTTAGTCTACGACATGGGTAATCTAGAAACGTTTCAGGTACATCTTAGAAAGCCTTAAATATCGTCATGTTTTACTTAAACTAAACTGAAACTATTTCGCAGTACTGCCGCTCCATAAGAGATCAAATCTTGGATAGTTTCAGTCATCGTGATTTTAGCATAATTGTGGTGGGCAATAAATATGACAATGTCTCAGAGGCGCAGGCCAACTCGCAGGTATTTATAAAATTCTTGAATAAATATTTTATGCAATACTTATTGACATATAATAATAAATACTATACATAAATGAATTATGTGATAATGATTACATATTTGTAATAAATATCTGTAATATCTCTTTTTCTAGGAACTTAAAGACATTTCTACGCTGGTGCGCAAGCATTGGCGTTGTGGATACGTAGAGTGCTCGGCACAGTGAGTATCTCTGCCTTTAGCATAGCTCTTGCAAATGCAAATGCAAATGCGAATACAAATATTGACCATTGCGAAATATGTAAATTATATTTTTCCCGATTCCCCACAGATACAACTACAAAATCGGAGACGTTTTTCGAGAGCTAATGGGCTGTAGCAGCGGAGGCGTCAATGGCGCAGCTGTCGGCGTTCTTGTTGGCACTGAATTCTCACAATCAACTAGGAATAAAGGACGCTGTACAATACTGTAGCAAATGCTGCATACGTTTTTTAAGCAAACACCTTACTCGAACGCATGATACCCAAAGGTTTTGTTTTCTGTACTCTGAACCATATACAAATTTGCCAAAGGGGTATTAGTTTTTTCTAGAAATGGATGCCACAGGCGGAAAACGTCGTGAGCGATTATATATCGTATAGATGATCTCGATCAGGAATATGAGAAATTTGAAGTATATTCTTTTTATGTAGTACAGTTATCTAATATCGATAGACATGCATATATATTTTTACGTTCTTTTCAAAGATGATAAAACTTAGAAGCACAAAATTCGAAATGAATACACAGACTGAAGAATCGAAATATATACATATGTATATATATTTGATATATGGATTCTTCCCTTCATAGCCCTCGAGATTTAAATGACTTTTTTCACACATATACTCGCACACACTGGACTGCAATATATATTCCCTAGATTCACGAATATCAGAAATAATAAGCCGAATATACGCTCGCATGCCCGTGCTCATGTGTGGGTGCGTGTATATCTGTGCCTGGGCTTTCGGGTGTAACAGTAGATTAGTGAGGTGGTCAGGGTATCCCCCAGTCGGTCAGTCCCCACTGCAGCACACTTGCTTGCTTTCGGCTGAGCTGGGCCGTAGGGGTCATTTGGAATTCTCTTAAGCATACTAACAGCAAAAGTCCCTTTCAGATGCTTGCTGCTGCATATTTTATCATACACTTACATATGTACATATATACTCTCATATATATGATATACATATTGCATTTAGTTCTCGACACACTTCTCCGCCTTGCCCACTCCACATTTTCATTGTTGGCCATTGTCTCTGTTAGCTTTTGCTTGCCATAATTTGAACATGATGCTCGCTACTTTATTTAAGCCAAGCGTGAGGCAAGCTGCATTCAGAGCATCGTTGTCTATTGCGGCTTTCAGCTGCAACGTTTGCAACTTTTGGTGCATTCGAATTCGCACTCGCAATTGTAAATTTTTATTGAATAACCGCAACATTTACAAGAATAGAAAATTACAAGCGATACAGTCGTTAGAAAAAAGCAAAACAGAAAAGAAAACCAAATTATATAAAAAGCTGCCAATAAATACATAGCTTGAGTTAAACATTATATATATTCTTTTTTGTACGTAATAGGTAAATAATCCCACCATAATTTACAATACATTTTATGAGTATAGAATTACAAATATTGTTAATAAAAACAACAGCGATAAACCTAAAACCCATCAGTATAAATGGTATACTTATACGGTAGCTATCTATAAGAAAAATAGTATATATATATATACTTATATATATATATACATATATAAATTCATTAACGTTGTGATCATTTCAAGAATTAGTTATTAGGCACAGGACGACGATAGATATGTTAAAGTCAAGTAAAAACCCTCTTAAATAGTAAATAATTAAACAAATACTTAAATGATTTTAAGAATTGCTCATGTTTTAGAAATTGTTTTAATGCAGCAATTATTAAGGCATAAAACCAAAAAGAAAAAAGTCATTCATTTACAAAACTTGTTTTCTTTTAAAAAATTAGAGAAAGGCGTTTCGTATTTTTAGATAATATTGTAAGAGGAGAAAATATAATAACAATAATTGTTGCCTTAAAACAATTTCTCTGTTATTTAAATACCTTACCCGAAGTGACGCAGAGCAGAGAATAAACATAGTTGAGTATTGAATGAATAAATCAAATAATTTAAGCATTAAGCCTTAAAACCAATGCGACCCAAAAGTTATTTCTTAATAACCGATTAATACTATTGTTAAGGTTGCAATTTTATAATGCGCACAAGAAACATTTGTTTTATATTACGAATGTTAAGATCCAATTCAGATATTTAAAAGCTATTATTTAAAAGGGAATATATATATATACAGCTATAGTACATATATGTATATGTATAATTTGTCGTAGTCAGAGAATATTGACTAGTCAACTAGGTAGGTAACTCTTAAGTTTCCACAATAAAATTGCTGACATTTACTATTTTCACAAAACAAATCTACTATGTCTCTATACCAAACTCTTTCTTTACCTCAACAAAACTCGAAAGATAAGCAATCAAGTCTGACTTTGTACATAGAGATTTCAAGAATTTTCGTAAATTGCAATATAGTTAATATATAAAGCAAGGACACACTACACTACACAGCACAACACAACACGACACGATACGTACTTACATACATTTGATCAATGTTTACAGCAATATATATTGACATATGGTATGTACATTTTTTAATAACCAAAGTCTACTCAGTCTACACATTATTATATAAATATATATACACACATGCCGACGGCAATTGAGCACACTGCCAATCTGGTATATAACATAGTCGAATCCAATCGAGTTGAGTGCTCAATTGACCAGAGCGGGCAAATCAATATAGATAATGTGAATTCGCATTTCGAATGAAATGAATTTAGTAAAGGGTAAAATTCATAGGCAATAATATGATTAAATTATAGAAGGAAGATATAGTTGAAAATAAAAGTGGCATACGGCTACCATTAATCGAAAAACAAACAGAAAACAGATAAAACAGATAAACAATAACAATAACATGAATGCATTAACAACTACAATGATATAATGGAAATGTACAGCCAAATCACGTTGACTTGTTGAAATGTGTTCATTGCATAGATCTCAAAATGGAAACACAAATTGAACAACATCTACAACGCTGAAGCTCTCATATAGATGTCTCATAGGAAGCCTGAACATCCACGCATTTGTATGAAATATACGTATTGTACTTACATATATATTTAACTATGTATAATACATGTATTTGGTTCGAGTTTTCTCTCATTATTTCGAACGATTACGAATTCGTCAAAATGGCTGTTAATTTTTTTGAATATAAAATATAATATGCTAAAACCAAGTCACAGTTAATAAAAAAAAAAAAAACCAAAAGAAAGCAAAACAAATACTAAAGCAACTAAACTATCATAACGATTATAACTAATATACATAAAGCAAACACACACTTGCGGTTGAGTTATATATTTAAGCAACGCGTTGCCTGTAGTTATAATATATTATATTTAAAATGGAAACTTAAATTACAAACATTTACGAATCAAATGCAATATGCTTCAGCCGCTTAGTGTTTGTTTAGTACGTTCAAAATAAAAATAATAAAGTTATAGTTAAGAGCTAGGAACTAAAGTTAAGGCAGTTATTTATATACGAGTTCACCTGTATTTACAACAACAACAGCAACAATGAGGGCAGAAAAGAAATCATTTTTAATACAAGATCTATACACCCAAACAAAGCAAAGACAAAGACAAAGCAAAGACAAAAATAAAAAAAAAAAACACACCGCAACTAACTATTAAGCAATGAAAATGAAGCCTCAACATAATAATCATTATAGTACTAGTACTTATATATGTGCTTATATTACGCCATGTGCATGTATTGTTTTTGCAATCTGTGTGCGTTAAGACGCAACTATATATAACGACTAATCCGTTAGCAATGTAGAGAACGTTTTTGGAAAACTGCAAACCCAAATAAAAAGAATGAAACAATAGAACAAAATGCATTTTCATCATTTTATAGACTTTTAATAATGCGACGTGGATGGTATATTTATGTAAACTAATTTATTTTCAGTTCACAAAAATTGCATATTTCCATAAATTGGAAAAGTCTATTGACATAATTAATATTATCCAATTTTTTAAATCTCCATCTTCATATAAAAAACTTCAATATAAAAGAGGCATGATTTAAGTACATGTTCTCAGCTGAATACATACTTATTTGTCTCGATTTATATCGGAACATAAATTTCATCTGATGCCACAAAAAGTATATTTTGTATATTGTTACATTTTGTTTTTATTTCTTTCTTTTATCGTTAAAACAAGAAAACGTGTTCGTCAGATTTAAAATGAAAACAATTGATTTTGTAAATAATTCTAAAATCCTTTGATATATCTAACTAATAAATTAGCTTCAGGATAAGTATACAAACGATTAGGAGTTTACCTAATTTCTAGTGACGTTAGTTAGTTCTAGTTACTTTTGTTTCAAAAACTTAATGTATTTTTACCTTCAGTTTTGAAAGTAAAACAAACTGCATAGCTCACAATATGAACTTTAATAATAACTATAATTTACAATAGGCATGAATTAAATGAGTAACTTAAAATTAACTGAATGCTCGATTCGCATTTCAGACAATAAACGAATAGCCAACGTGCCTTGAGTAAAAATTGAATATAAAAAAAAATAACTTATAATCAAATGTTGATGACTTAATTTAACTTAAAGCTATGGGTTCATACACCAACGTCCCTCGGCTGTTGTCTTTATCACTGATGCTGTTCGCTGTTGCTGCTAAATGTGCGGCTGCGACTCAGCCGACGCGTGGCTGCCTCCATCGCTGCCTGTTCGCTGTGGCCATCTACCAAGCGTTCGGGCAGCTGTAGAATTTCGTGCAGCTGCTGTTTCAGCTGATTTGTTTGCGGCCGCTCCGCTGGCTGCGAAGAGAGCATCCTTTGAAGCAACTCATACTGCTCCGGATGTTGTTTGACAAAGTCCTCAGGATAGTGGCCATCCCTCAAGGCACGAAGAGTCTTAATGCGTTCCATTTCAGTGGAAAAATAAACATGGAGCTCAAAAAATATTAAGCCCAGCGAATATATATCCACCTTGTAGTCATAGTTCTGACCACGTAACTGCTCTGGCGACATGTAAAGATGTGTGCCCACCAATTGCGTGTGGCGGGCACAAGACGGTAGACCGGATTGATCGCCGCAATCATTTAAGATATTTGGAATATCCGCCATGTCGGTTACGAGCCCAAAGTCGCCAATCTTAATCTGTCCATCTTTGGAAAAAAATATGTTGCTTGGCTTCAGATCGCGATGGATTAGGCCCTTTAGGTGGACATATTCTACCGCATCCACAATCTGGTGGAAGATGTGAGCGATATGCGCAGCACGCGCCTCGGTGCGATTGTCCCGTAGCCAATCGCGAAGACTCTCCTTGCGGCATAGCTGCATTTGTATATAAAGGTAAACCTTATTCGGCTTAGCTGTGTTCCCGTTCTGCGTAGTAGAGTTTGACAATACTATCTGGTTACTGTGTGACTGTGATTGCATCTGTTGGTTGTGATTGTGATTATTGTGAGTGTGATGTAGCGCCAGAGTTGATGGTTTGCGCCTGGGCGATATTTCAGCGTCATCATCGGTGCCGCTGCTGTTGCCCTTCGAACGAACCGATTCGATTTGAAATGAATTAGATAGCTGATGCTGTGTGTAATTGATGTTCTTCAAATCAAAGGACTCAGAGTGCACATCAATGGATACAGCGGTCGGTTGAGTACGCTGCTGGATTTCGTTACTGGGTGCCATCGGCTGCTCCTCGCTCAAGTCTATTTCGTCTGCATGGAGAGCCGCTGACTGTGATTCGCTGCGAAATTCAATAAGCGAATCATCATCATCATCTTCGTTGTATTTTGCAATGCGGCTGAACGATTTGTCGCCATGCCCATAATCATTGCTACAGGCAGTGCTGTTCACAGTATCCGAGACCCAAGAAGCTAGATCATGATGCTTTTTATGTGGATGATTTGGAAAAGATGGCATCGTGCTGCCATCCGGAGTTTCAATTTGTATGGAAGTTGACATTTCGTGTGCCAACAGCTTACGGTCCTCCTCTTCCTGCCAGCCTACTGGCGGTGTTTCTACCCAGGACTGCAATAAAAAATATATATTTTATCCACTACCATTTGAGACACAAGTTAAACAGAGACATACATGAAAATATCGCACGATATTTTGGTGCTCGCAGCTGGCCAAGGTCCGCGCCTCGCGCAGCACACGTTGCCGCGAGGACTCCTTATTCGGCAATGTTATTCGTTTGATCGCATAATGATTTTCATCCAGCTTGTTCTTGGCCTCAAAGACTACACCGAATCCGCCTCGACCCAGGCATTGCATGAGGTCGAAGTCTGATTGGAAACGCGATATAAAATGTTCACCGGAATTTGTGGTCGACTCGGAAATGGACCGCTGTAAGCGCCTAACACTCGAAGCGTTGTTATGTTGATTTCCACGCTGCTGGTGATGGTTCCCTGCCAAGGACTGCACTGGCCCCAAAAGCGCCTGGGTAGATGCCTCCGTCGCTTCAATGGCCGTCTGAACAGGCACATGCCTCTCGATGACAAAGTACTCGCGTTCCACTCGTTGATTGCGATGACCCATAAACATGTTGAGCAGCACCGCTGAAGTAAACGCAATGACCACAATCTCCTTCCACCAGAACCAAAGCGAGAGAATGATAACTTTGACAGGTGCATCAATGTCGTCTAAACTGAAGCCCAAATCATCATTAATACTCTGATTCCCGGCAGCTGCATTCGATTTGCCGCCTTCTTCTTCTTCGTTAGTGCTCGGTGGCTTCTCTATAGCAGGCAAGTCAGTGGGTGTCTCATTAGCGCCACATTCCAGCTTACCACTTTGCTTGCCCGCCAGCTGTGAGTCGGTGTAGAAGTAGAAACCATTGCCATTTACAAACTCAGAGGCATTCAAGACAGACTGCGCCGCCACTGCCAAGTTCTGGTCGTCATATCGAACTAATTCATTTCTCCCATAGTCCTCAGATATGATTACTTGATCGCGCTCGTTCTGAAATAGCACTAATGAGTTTTTACTTGCTGCAATCGGCCGCCAGGGTATTCGCGGCAGAGAACTTGTATCGCCCGAAAGCTGTTGATACTGCTGCGACTGAAACATAATTTCTTCTCGCAATCGAATGGACTCCTGTATATATAACTGCTTTTCGTACATGCCCAGATAAATGGAGGGCGCATGGATAGGCTTGCCTTCCACGTGTTGTTCAGCCTGCCAATGAGCCGAACCAAAAAGATCGATGGACTCCAACTCGTCGGCTTCATTTGTGTGCCACACACTTACGATGGGATTGCTAAACTATAAAATAAAATAAGGTGATTTATTTATTATCTTTGTACCAATATTATATAGTTCTACACACTCACCTGGTGCTTCCACAGCATCAGCTGGGGATCACTCTTGCTGAATGCACATACAATGCCCTCTGGTACTACAACTCTTATATCCACATCCAAGACAGCCAGTTCAATGTCGCTACGGGGCTCCTCATGACAGTCATCGGCTCGAATCAAATTCAATTCGTGCTGTCCAACGCTAAAATTCCAGCGCTCAATGCCTGTACGCGACTCTACGGCCCGTACTGTTTGAGTCTGTCGACGGACAACGATAACGTCGTCCAGAAGCGAATTATGAGGAACAATGTAACCATCTTCATCCCTCAATTCCTCATCAGCATGCTCTTCATTATGATCATTCTTATCTTGTGCGCTAATTGTATCGTTAATGACACGCTCCTCATTCGTGGCATTCACACAGCCGTTTATGGAACACTCGTAAAGGAGCTGCCCAGTTCTCACGGATACGCCATAGTTACGTGTCTCCTTGCCGCCGGAGATAACAAGATCATCACTGAACTTAGCGCTGGAGCTAAGCAAGTTCTCTGCAGTAATGGGTATGGGATCAATGGAATCGCCATCGAATTTGTAAATACCTCCACTCAGGGATGGTATCATGCGTACAAACTGTCCATTATTAGTTAGCTCTAGGCGATGAATGCTCGATGAGATGAGTGGGCCGGGTCCCGTTTCAATGCTCCATCGCTGTTTGCCTGATTTTGCAATATCCAAAGCGCTAAGCCGACCATCCAGCGTAGTGATATACAATAATCTGCAGAGAAAAGGTGAAATTAATTTCCAATATAGAACTTAAAGTGTCATTTTTTAGAAAATCAATATACCATATACGTTACAGTTGTCTATAGATCGGTACATTTATTATTTAGAGTTCCTACATCAGTGGGTTTACACAAGTCAATACCCTATACCTTACAGTTGTCCCCAGTTCTATAAAATAAAAAATTAAAGCACAACATACATACATACATAGAGGGTGACACATGTCTGTATATACCCTCTACTCTAAACGGTTCGATAAAACAAAATAAAGCTCTGTTATCTAACCCTTCAATGCTTGAAATACACATCACAGTTACATTAGCTGTAGTGATGGCCTGTGAGGTGTTAGTGGGATCGTGAAACGTAAACAGAATTATGCGCAAAAAAATCAGTCAACAAGTGTTCGCCGCTAAGAAAAAAAGCTACACGCACATGCATGAATACACACACACGTCTGCCTACACACACAGTGCCCCCACACACACACATGCTAAAGATGGCACAGACGCAGACTTGGCGTCTGACCGGACAGCAAAACAAAAGCGAAAAGAATGGTGAAATTCGACATTGGTTTGCATAAAACATTTTGAAATTCTAAGCTTTGAGAGAAATTATAATAACACGTTCCACTGCTAAATTTATTCTAATTACCAGGCAAATAGTTGTTGGTTTTTCTGTGTTTAGTTTGTTGTTTTGTTATCAATATTAATGTATACAATTTTACAGGCAATTAGTTAGTGTTAAACACTTGACACATGACTCACCGTCGGTTTGATAAGCTCGAACAAACATCAGATTTATTTGACATGATTTTTACTGATGCCAGGATATTGTGAATTCACATTCGAGCTCTATACTGCTTAATTTCAACTACTATTCAATCGCATTACATTTGCAGTACATAGTTCTTAACTGCGTTTTCTTCACAAGTACTTGCACTGTTTATTTACGAACTTTCGAGAACAACTCCACATACATACATACATGTGTATGTATGTATGTCTCTTAGAAACAAAATACTTGTGTAGGTTCTTCGTCTTACCTTCGTCCAATGCTTCGTTCCTGCTGCTCCACACAGTGCGGTATTCCAGGTGGAGTTGGCTTTGCCGCTTGCAGATCCGATTCGCTTGAGTCTTCGGGCAATGGTGATGATGCTGACAATCCTTCAACTGAAGGCATTACTAAAGCAGATGTGACTAATGATGTGATCATGGTGTAAAGGATGAGGCGACGGCGTCGAATTATGAGGCCATTTAGAACATTTTTTATTGCCATTATACGTGGGTGCCGTATATTTGTAATTAGAACACCTAAGTGTTGAGTTAGCTGTTAATTGGATTTTTTGACGACGTCGGCGTCAAATTCGTCGACGGCGCTGAATAGTTTACTTTGGTTACAATAGCAGCAGGAGCGCCCATCAAAGCGAAGGCACATTGCTGCATTACTCGGACGACGTAGAACAAAAACAGTTACAAATTTTTATAAACTATTTTCTTATACTATCACAACACACTGCGTGGTGCAGTTTCGCAACAGCGATGTCCGTATTAGGGCTGGATAAAAGTGTGACCAGCTTCGAGCAGTCGAAATGTTATGTACCAGAGCTGCCAACTCATAGAAAAATAGTGGCAGCTCCAATTTATTGCAGACCTAGCGCCAAAATAAAATTCCAATCTACCCGATGTATCTTTAGTTTCATTTGTTTTTATTTAATTCATATGATACACCCAGTTCAAACCTTGTTTAGTTCGTTATATTCTAACACTTTGTATAGTTAACGCTAACAATATATGTAAAAACAAAAATACATATCTAGCCAAGGTGTGCAATCAAAAAATTTGGATTCCGTAAATCTACTTTTTGGATTTGAAAAGGTAAAGGTATTACAATACATAAATTTAAGTTATAATCGTTAGCTAGAATATTAAACTGTTATTTCTGGGAACAGAAGTTGCATAGAAATAAATATAAAATAATAAAGAAATTATATAAACAATATACAATTTTTTGCACAAAACGCCGCACGACAACGTAATAAATCAATAAATCAAAAACTAAATAAATGAATGCCTCATAAACAAAATAGCATGCTAGCTTGAATACAGTGATGGAACCCGAAATTATTGCAGATGTGTGGTTTACATGAATTTGTTTGAGTTTTTACTTAGTTTCCGATATAGCTTCCTAATATTCCTCAATTGCTATGATTTGCGGTGGTTTAGCAGTAACCGTCGACGTCCCTGCAGCCACTGAACTTGCTGCTGCCATTGAGGCTGAGTTGTCTACAGTTGATGTTACTACTGCTGATGCCGTTGCTGTTGTTGCACCTGTTGTCGTTAATGTGTCCGGCGTCTGTGCGGCTAATTGTCACTTTGAGCTAGCTCCTCCAATACTGGGGCCACCGCCCGCAACCTCGCTGACACGCTGATATCGCGGCTTATTCCGGGTGAATGGTAGGTACTTGTACTTGATCATATGCTTAATTTGCCGCTTCATCGTTATGCAGAATAGCGTGATAAAATACATGACTAATATTGGCCAGAACACAGGCACATTGAAAAAGTCGAAGAACGTGCAAAATAGGCCAATTGCAGTGCTTTTTGTCACCGACAGCCAAAACTTGAATTCGGGCAGTCGTCGTATGAATGGTCGAAACTCCTCATTGCTATGCCTGGGTAAATTCGGTCCCTCGTCATCTTCTTGCGCATATGGATCAAATTCTGGATCGATTTTCGGCGTCAAAAATGCAATGAACAGATTCAAGTGATAGATTCCAAGAGCGTAACACACAATATACCAGCCCTGATAGATGAATATTCGCAGCACAAATAGCAGCAACACGAATCCGGCAAACACCCATCGCATGCGTGTGTGCGGCGTAGAACGATCAAGGGATGATTGGTAGATCTGTAATTGACGATGAATGAATGAAATGCATTCTATAATCCATACACACTCACTCACCTGTGATAAACGCAGAAAGAACTTTTTAACGCCGCCCCCGCCACTGGTGGACGTTGACGTACTCGCACTGTCTTCATTCATCATTGTGCCTGTAGATTGGTGTAGTGCCTGCTAGCCCTCCGCAAACAGCTACCCGCTTTTTTCTCACTCTCAATGGTAGACAACGTTGAAATTTTGTCTTTTCGATAGTTTGGCGTCAAACTTTCGATGCAGCTGGCGACGCGACAGCGACGTCAAAAACAAAAAAAAAAAAAATGAAAACAACTACAGTCACCTATTCAAGTGTAAATTATTTCATTGCCCTGCTGCGACGTCTCCACCTGATCGACCTCCTTCCTCTTTCTAATACAAAATGCTTGTTTTTGTGTCGATTCAGATGTCAGTATGTATTTGAAGTATCAATGCCTGCTGCTGACGATTTATATATAAATTTAGCACGCTTTGTGTTTACAAAATGATGTATTAATTAGATTACTAATCGTGTCGGCATCACTAATTTATTGTTCTTTTTTCACACAGTTCACCACGTCATTATGTCAAATATAGTGCACTCTCTCGCAGCGTTATCTGTCAAGCATACTAGTGTTGTAAAACACGCATATAGCAGTGCTGCTCTTTGAAATAGTAACCAGTGCTGTTAGCCTCAAAATTGTACAACAACGGGGCTGCCAGATCGCTCACAAACGATAATCAAATTCAAACCAAAAGCTACAAATATCAATTCATTTCATTTTTATTACTTTCAATCTTATATAACAATGAATTATTAATTTTTAGCTTAGGACACAAATATTAATTCAAGTTTCAGATTGAGACTCTGACGCATGCGACGCCTTGGCATCAGCTATGCACATCTGTACAGTCTCTAAAAACTTTTGCGCAATTTCTTCTTTCTTAAATCGACAGGCAAGACGCTCCATTTCACCCTCACTAGATTCGGCATAGTTAAAGTTCGCCCAAATGAAGCTCTTCTTTTGTCCGTTCATGTACTCCATGCTGAATGACTCACCTATCTGCATGTTGAGTACCAGTTTGAAAATTTGCTCACGACGCATTAGCATACGACAAGTTTTCAAAGTTTTATGCTTTAAAATTTTTATCTCGCCCACTCCTATCAAAATGTTAATTAATCATTAATCAATAATTTCATTCTATATTTGCAAAACTTACCGCGCTCCTTCCACTCCTTGGTATCTGAAATGTATCGATATAATGTGGCGCGCTCGCCAAACAGTTTGTCCTCATCCTCTTCTCCAGTGGTCACCACAATTTCATTGGGTAGGGCTATGATGGGTTCGTAATGCGGATCGTAGTTATCGTCGTCATTATTGTTTTCGATACTGTTGTCTTGTGTGTCTGTTGGAGTTGATGTCTTGCACGGCGCTTTGAAGTTCTTAAAAGCATCTTGGTGTGTCAATCCAAAGAAGCCACCGGACTCCGACTTTTGAAAGCCAATCGGATTACTGGACCCCTTTGCTGCCAAACTTGCAAAATCGTCGCCTCCAGCTAATCCAGCGAAACAATCGACATTGCCTTTATCAGCTATTGTGGAGGCAGCAACTGCCTTCGGTCCAATAGATCCTGCAGCAATATTCTCTTTGTTGTCCTTTATCTGACTCTGGTTGCTTATCATGTCGGCAAATGACATGGTTTTATCTTTCGCTAGATTGCCAAACAAGGGGGTCACACTCGATCCGGCGCTGCTGCCAAACGCTCCGGATGAAACGTTACTGCTGGTGTTTGTTAAGTTGTTTTCTCCGAAAGGGCTGAAAGTTAGCTTGGGCGTTTCGCTTTGATTGCCTGCCTGTGATTGACCCCCAAATATCGAAGTTGTCTGATTATTAATCTTGTTATCCGAGCCACTGAAACCTCCAAAGATGGATTGCTGCGTCTTGCCTGCGGTACCTCCAAACAGCGATGCACTCTGCCCAAATATTTTATCTAAGAAAAAAAATTATTGAGATCAAAAGAGAATCGTGAAAACACATTTTGCTTCAGTGAAACATGAATTCAATTCATACCCGAATTGCCGAAAACGAAGCCACCTCCTACATCGGCCGCCTGCTTCGCATTCTGCTTGGATGACGCTGCTGAGGCTGTTGTGGAGTTAGCGGGGACAGCGTTGCTAAATCCTCCAAAACTACCCGATTTATCTGTAGTGTTGTTGGCCGATAGAGAACTGGCCTTAAGTAAGCCTCGACTGGCCAACGAAACACCTTCATGGACCTGAGGCTTGTCCTGTGCCTGGGGCGTGGGTAATTGCAAGGCGGGCAATGTGAGTGGCAGCGCTCTAATTTCCTCTTTGACCTTTTGCGGCTGCCCATAGTCAAACTTTTCTGGCTCGCAACCACGACAGCCGGCGCACGTCGACTCTGCAGTCAAAAACTCGCAGCTAAGCGACAGTTTTTTTGCAAGTAACTTGGTTTCATCGGAAACGACAGATTGTTTATCATTGGGATCACTAGGAGTGGCACTCGTTTGCGCCTCTTGTTGGGTTTCCTCCTCGGTAATGGGCTGGGCTGTGCCGTCAAGAGCACTCTTGACTGCCTTATGGAATGCCTGAGCAATGTCCGAGTTCTTAAAACGCAAAGCGAATCGTTCCAGCACAGACTCGCCCTCACTAAAGTCGTGCACAGCAAACATCCAGGATTTTTCATCTTTGGGCTTATAGATCACGCTAGAGTTGAGAACGTGGTTCAGACAGATCTTGAAGACTTGCTCTCGACGCATGACAACACGCAAATTATTGGTCTCCTTATGACGCAGTATTTTTACATTTCCCAAGCCTCGTTCTTTCCACTCGCCCTCTTCAGACAGACGATAAAGCTTGGCACGTTGAACATAGAGCAGATGCTCATCCTCCTCTCCGGTCTTCACATCAACCTAGAAGATTCGATTTTTATAACACAAATATTTTAATTGCTTATATTTTTCATTTATAAACAATATTACTTACCTTATCCGGTAGAGGAATAACGGGTGCAAAATATGTGTTGTTCTCCTCCTCTTCCACATTGCTTTCATCGTCGTTGCTTACATCGACGCCTCCCTCATTTTGTGTGAGACTCTTTGGCGGCTGCTGCGGTTGCTGTTGCTGCTGCTCCTGCTGCTGGGTCTTCGGCATTGAGAAACTAAATTTGTTGGCAGCCGAAGAACTGCTGTTTGAACCTGTCGTTGGCATAAAACTAAAACTGGCTGATTGAAAGATGCTGCCCTCGGTGGTCTTTTTCGGCAAAGCGGTAGAGTCTGTGGTGGATGAGCTGCTGGTTGACACTGGGGAACCAAAACCAAAAGTAAACTTGGTTGAAGGAGGTGGAAAGTTCGCAAGACCGCTTCCTTCAAGTTTGTTGCCTTTCTTTGGCACGCTGTCATCCTTCGGCGCCTCACAAGCCACACAGTACAACTGAGCTGCATCGTTTGAAGTATAGCAATCTTTACAACTCCAGCTGCCCGTCTTTGGCTTGAATGCATCGCCGAAGCCAAGCGTGTTGGGTGCTTCTGTCACAGGGGCCGCGGCCTTAATACTCGATGCGCCGTTACCAGAATTAGTAACGGAAGTGGGATTTGCAGTAGTTGCGGTTGTTGCGGTAGTCTCAACTGGATCCGCTGGGGGCTGCACCTTATCCACCGCAGGTTTCGCACCAAAGCTAAAGGTTGGTGTCACTGTGCTCTGGCCAAAGCCAAAAGAGAATTTTCCGGCACTACTACTTAAGTTGAGAGCCCCATTCTGTCCCAACCCCGATGGCTTTGGTGGGACAGTGTCGTCCTTGGGGCCTTCGCAAGCCACACAATAAAGTTTAGCAGCATCGTTAACGGTATAGCAGCCCTGACAGTTCCAGCTCCCGGCCTTCGGCTTGAAAGCATCCCCGAAGCCCTGAACTTTCGTTTCCGATTCCTTATTTGAATTTTTCTCAATCTGTTTGGTTTTATTGGGTTCTTCCTCTGACATAGCCGCCTGCGCCTTCAGTATTGTGTCGTAAAACTCTTTACACACGTCGGCGGTTTTGAATCTTACACATAACATCTCTGTGGTTGGCTCTTGCTCAGCATAATCCTGTCCCGCCCAGGTCAGGGCATTCTGTGAGTTCTTTGCATATTGGAATTTCGTGTCTGGTAGAATCCGCTGATTGCAGCACAATTTGAGCACCTGTTCGCGACGCATGAGCAAACGCACAACAGTCGGATCTGATTTCATTTGTAAGATCTTCATGTTGCCCAATCCACGCTCCTTCCACTCGTTGGTCGCCTTATCAAAGCGCAGCAACTTGGCGCGATGCTCGAATAGTACTAATTCATCCTCCTCGCCAGTGACGACTTCGACAAGCTCTGGCAACGGAATCACAGGCGCAAATTGTGCTGTCGGAACATACTCCTCGTCAGCCTCCGCGTCCGATGCGTTCGACCGATTTAAATTATTTTGCTGGGATTCCGCTGGGGTTTGTTGCTGATTTTGCTGGGGCTGTACTGTGGTTTTTTGCTGATTTTGTTGATTTGGCTGAGTTGCTTCCGATTTGCCGAAGAGGTTACTGCCAAAGTTAAAAGCGGTGGTAAAAGGTGTGTTGTTGTGACTTGTGGTGCTCGTGTCACCCACAGCCGAAACGCTGCCAAAGGACAGATTGGCAGCCGATGACTTAGTGCCCAGACTACCAAAGTTGAAATTGGCAAATGGCGACGTCGTCGCTGTAGTAGTGTTTGTTGAGCTTGGCACGTTGCCGAAGAGTGTCTTGGGCACTACGGAGTCGGGTTTGGGCTGAGTGCCACCCACTTTATTCGAGTCGGTTTGCTTGGGCACCGCATTCGTTGCGGGAGTGCTGGTCACAAAGCTGTTAACAGCGCTACTCTTGGCCAGACTCAACGCGGGCGGTATTACTTCCGCTTTGACTGTCTCCTTTGCCTCCTTAGCCGCCTTTTCGAAAGCCAACTTAAACTCTTTGGCGGTCTCAGGCAGCTTAAAGCGCACCAAAAACTTTTCCAACCTCAACTTTTCGTCCGCAAAATCGTTGGCTGCCCAGAGGAATGACTTCTCCTCCTTATCCTGCTCGGGTGTCGTAATGGTCATACCGGACGTAATTTTGTGATTCGCGCAAATCTTATGGGTCTGCTCACGACGCATCAGAATGCGGGTGCAACCGGTTGTTTGATTCTTTAAAATCTTGATGATACCAATACCGCGCTCCTTCCACTCTTTGTCAACGTGTCGGAACAGTTTGGCTCGATGACTGAACTCAACTATTTCATTCTCCTCACCAGTGCGCACTTCCACCTCATCTGGCAGCGGTATGATGCCTTGGAAATCTGGTCGCGGATCATAGTCAAGCTCAGCCGATGCATCTCCTCCACCAAAACTATTGTTTGCTTCATTACCAACGCTGTCGTTGCTTGCAGCAGCTTCCGCGGCCATTTCTCGTTGCTTCTCGGCTGCCGCCTGTGCGACCTGTGTCTTAAATGAGAATGTGGAGGCAGATAGTCCACTGAAAATGTTGCTCGATGTTTTATTGCCGAGATTAAAAGTAAAATCACTTCCGGCCAATACTGGTGGTTCTGTGGTCTGTACTAGACTTGGCTTAATGTGCTGCGGCGGTATGGTGACGCTAAGCGTGGGCTGAGCAGTGGCGACTGCTGTCTTGGGAAGCGGATCCGAGCTGGTGATGACTACATTGGCCGGTGGCTCCTTTTCCACGGGCTGATTATTAAGGGCGCGATTGAAAACAGTAGCAGGAGCTGGTACTGGAGCAGCGGATGTCGTGGTGACCGTGGTAACGGATGTGGACACAGAAGTAGCGGACAGATTTACTGGAGCGGGAGCTGGAGCTGGAGCTGCGGGCACAGATGCGGATATAGAAGTAATTACTCCAGTAGTAGACAGGGGAATTGATGTTGTCGCTGTCATGAGCTTCTGCTGCGCCAGAGGTAGCTGCACGGATGGCGGCAGTTGCTGAGTCGCCTGTCCAGCATTTTGTGGAACTTGAACGGAAGCTGGCCCAAACGGTGCAGACGCACTGTTGAAAAAGTTTGCTGTGGAGACTATGGGCACATTCGGCGCTGCTGGCGGCTGGCTGAACTGTGACTGCGGAGCTTGCGGAATCACTAAACTGGGTGGTGGCGGCGGCATTCCATAGTTCAAGCCATCAATAAACGGTGCTCCAGTCGGATTTTGATACATGTTTGGCGGCACTCCGAAATTGGTTGGTGGCCGTGGACCTGCATAAAAAGTAGATATAAGTGTATTCATTCTGTTGATTAAAACTTCAACTGAAATAGATAATCTGTTAACTGCCAAAGACAAATTTCGACTGTGTTCCTAAGCCATGTAAACTACTATAATGATTTAATTTTCTTTTTTTTTTAAGACAAATCTAAATCCTAACGTGACAAGTGCTTATAAGTAAATCTGTATATTTATTACCATGAATCTTACGGCTTTAAATAGATTTTTAAACTTACCATAGAAAGGCGGCGGCAGGTTGGTTGGCGCCGGAGGAGTTCTCATGAACTGAGCTTGGCTGGCAAAGTAGTTGTACATCTGATTCTGATTGAACATGGGACTGCCGTATGCTGCATTCGAATGCGGAACATTTCCAGCTGGCGGAAAAAATCGATCTTGGGCATTATGAGCTGGTGGCATAGTGTTCAGAAAATTCGTCTGGATCGCATCATCCAAGTTCAGGTATTCATCCAGACCCAGGGCAGCCGCAGCTGCCGCCGCGTCAGCCTCGCGGGTTTGCGTTTCATTTCCATTAATCTTGCACTTTTTGAGCAGCTCTTCAAGACTATCGAACTTGTCAGCTAAGGTTTTGACTTCCTGTCGCATGGCCTCCATTCCGTCACCTACATCGACCTTAAGCGTATCTAATTGCTTGCTGAGCTCTTTTATTGTATGCTCCAGCTGTAGAGTGGCTAGGTTCTGCGTCTCCGCTTGGCGCCTCGAGCGATTGAGGGAACGATTAAGGGCATTTGCAGCGCCGGTATAGAAATCATCCTCTGCATCCTCATATGCGCTGGAGTTGTTGTGATGTTCAGGTGAACAGTACTGCTCATCAGGCAAGGAAACCTTCAGTTCACGTTGCACCACAGAGTTCAACGGATGATCGGCAGCATTGACCAGCAGAGCCTTCGTTTCTCTCAGGCACTCTATGCGTCGCTCCTGAAAGTTTTGCCGCGCAACTCGGGAGGCGTGGCTGGACTCTGCCAGTTGACGATACGACTCTGCTTGCAGATATGTGGCCATTGGCAGCCGTAGACCACGTATATCCTTTACAAACTCTTGCAAGTTTCCCATCTTTATTGAGCGCCTGTTCAAATAGGAGAGCGCATCTTCAGCCAACGACTCGATCTGTGTCCATACGTTGCTTGCATTTGCATTTAAATACTTAAAGTATCTGTAAAACGGTTCCAGCTTATGCTCTTGGTGGCGTATCATCATGCTTATGGCCAGCTTGTAGAAGGCCTCGATTCGCTGTTCCAAATAGGAAGCATCTTCACGGCTGGCCAGCAGTTTGCCCAGCTGCAGCAGCATTATTATCTCAATGTGTGGCTCGTTCTGGCAGCGTATCACTTCTAGACCAAATTGGAGCTGATCTCGACTCTCAACGCGATCATTTATATTGACGTTGTCATGAATGCGCTGCATTACATTCCACCAGGAGTTCTGCTCCGTCGTTATCAACTCGTTGCGTCCAACAATGTTGGCAAAGGGAAACATGAACGGACGATCGGCCGCAATGCGATTGCCGACATGGGAGCTATTGTAAGTCTCACGCTGCACCTCCAACTTGCGCTGTGCCTGAAGCACCGTAGCATATAGGAATATATCAACATCCACTTGGCAAAGAGTGTCCACGCTGCAGTTACTCAAATTCTTTCTACTGTCTCGCCGGAACGCTTTATAGAAGTAGACGCGCGGTGCCTCAGCTAAATTTTCAGCACTGAGCGCTAAGTAAACATGATGCTCGAGGGTTGGTGGAGCTAGCTGAAGTGCCAGCTGCTCGAACTCCTCGATCTCGGCCACGCAAGGCCACTCGTACAGTGGTTGCTGCAGGCGCTGATCCTGCACCAAATGCGACGACTTTTCCTTCAGCTTTGTTTCGGGGTGCGTGTACAACTGTTGATAGAGCTGTGAGCGCCACTGGCTGTCCACGCAACGCTGCCGCGCCGTCTCCAATAGCTCAGAGCTACTTGGCCAAAGGCCTTGCACTTGATTGACTGCATCATTTGGAGGAGTTTGCACACAACCATGCAACGTACGACCCAGCTGAGCACACCGAAAAGCGGCTTGATGCTGCCAGAGCTCCAGTAGCTTCTGTTGCACACTGCTACAGTGACGTTGCCAGTAAGAGGATTTCTCCTTAATTGAGTTCTGTTGATATCCAAGCAAGAGCAACGGCAGAGCCGCACGCACCGTGTTGAACCATTTGTTTTTGTTGCTTAACATTTCGCGCTTGAAGAGCACCGTTGCCGCGTGTAAAAGAAACTGTCCAGAGTAGTGTTCCAGGCAGCGCTGGTGCAGTTCATGGCCGCCGTTTATCGATAGCTGATCGGCAAGCAGACTAAACTTGTATACGTATTGATCTAGTTTGAAGAGCAGAGCGAGACTTTCTCCCAGACTGTTGTTGGTGTCGGACTGAAGGTTCAGCTGAAGGAGACGATCAATAGTGATGAGCAATAGCTGCCAGAACGACCAATCCTTCGTTGTATCCTTGGACTCGCTCTTGAGCAACACCATCCAAAGTGCATCGTACCACTCGATCGATTGAGACTGAGCCGGCATTTCCATTTCCGTTTTGTACGCATACTTGAACGCTTCATCGATGCGTTTCTTCTCCAAGAATGTTTGTATCAAACGCAACTGCAACAAACTGTTATTCGGATTCGACATCAGCTCTTTTTTAATAACCAGTTCCATCGAATTATTCTGCTCGGCTGAATCCGCCGTGCTGGCCGTAGCGCGCATGCGTAGAGTGAGAAGGAGCTCGCTTTCCTGCAGATCTTCAACGTTGCTGGCCAGCTCTAACCAAAAGGTAGCCCGGTCCGGGCTGCAAAGGTTACTTTGTTCAATAAGTATTTTGCAACTTTCCTTTATCACGTCCGGCTGTTTCGGATTTAATTGAATAGATCGTTGGTAATGATCCAAAGCCTTTTGATAGTCCGGCTGCTTTTGTTGTTTGTAGCATCGGGCGATAAGCTTATGAGCGCCAGCATCGTCGTTGATCTTTAAAAACGCATTCAAGTGCTCAATAGCCTTTGAGTATTCTTGTATCTTGCTGTACAAGCGGCCAACCGCCCAACCCTTCATGTCGCGCTGTTATGATGGGAGTAAAGCAAAATGAACATAACCTCAATTAAAATTGTAATATGAACTATGTATATAATTGTTTTGATATTTTATTTAATATTAGTATTCGTTCTCGTTTATTTTGTATTTATATTTCAAATTAATAGTCACACAAATTTCCATTGTTATGGGCGGACATTCTTGCATAGCGGCTTCTTGACCTCACTTTAAGAGACGCCGACAGCCAAATGCTCATACATACATACATAC